TAGAGACTCTTGGTACCTTTTCCTTTCAGTTAAATGATACTTCGATTGTATTTTGAATTCTGTAGATATGCTCTGTATCGCTCACTGAGGGTTTAAATTTTGTGAGGCCTGGAGGCCTTGGTTGTAAATTATTTTACTGCTTGTAAAGCATGCTGCCGGTTGGTTGTTTTTAACTGTAAATTTTGAACAGGTTGAAATTGGGAAATGTTCAATTTATAGGGGGGACTCTGCCAAATTTTTGGTAGAAAGTCTCAGTCTTTAGTAAATGGGCCTGGCATCGGGATGATGTCGGTAATTAGGCGGGGTCCGTCCCAGGTTCCGAGGAATTTCTGGACGGGTCCTGTTAGAGAGAGAGATATATATATATATATATTGGTTAAAATATTATTTTTTTTATTTTTTTACTTTATTTTTTAATTTTAAATATTTTAAAAAAAAATTAAAAATAAAAGAAGGTGTACTATGGGTATTTTTGGTAGTTAAATAGGGTGTACTTGGTTAATTTTACATTTTAATTTAAACATTAGGGTGTACTTAGATCATATGGTGTACTCAGTTAATTTTAGGATTTGTTTAGTTGCACTCTCTTTTTTTTTTTTTGGTACAAGTGATTGGGGAGGGTTTTACACACAAATATTTGTTGGGTATTGTTTGAACCTTGCCAATATGACTGGAGATAAAAGAGATCAACCAACTAAGTTCCGCATTGCCCGTTATAATTTGATGAATGAGCCATCTGATTTTGGAGAAAACTAGCATGTTAGTAGGAAAAATTGTGACCTCTGTTCTTAAGTTCATGACTCATGACTTCCCTTAACCCTAGTAAGTAAATATGTAATTGGATCATAATTAGTGACATGAAACTCATGTTGTTATAAAATAAGTTGAGTATGAGAGTACAATTAAATATTGGAGTGAAATTGTATTTATGCTTGCAGTATTGCACTGATAGAATTTTCTCTTTGATTCCCCTCTCTCACTTTTCTCTTCTAATTGGTGCATTTCAAAAGCCTTAAGATTGCCTCAATTTATAGATAGAGGGTATAAGCCTTACAACCACAACATTTACTCCTCAACCACAATATTTACTTCTTGATGTATGTAAATAGTGAGTGAGCCAAGAAGTCTTCAACTCTGCGTAAAACCTAGTGTTTCACTTCTAACATTGTTTTCCACTTTTAACATGTGGGTCATCCACCATTTACAACACATGTAATTTTTTCAGTGATGAAAATTGGGATCAAATAGGTCAACAATGGTATAAGCGGGCTCTAAACCCTGTTGGGATTGATGAAAATTGTGTTGTGTATTTATTTATCTTGGACAAAGGAGAGAACATGTAGCACAAAAGCAAAGTAGAACACAGCAATTTATGTATAGAGAACATTAATTATTACTTTCTACTTCTTGGATAAAGGAAGAGGTGCCAAGGACGATGTAGCACAACCAAGACCCTTTATCACGCCAGTAATTGTGGGCTTGACATTAGAACACATAGAGGTAAGAGGGCCTTTGTCTCCACCGTAGGTGAGATCAATGTCAGTCAACTCCACATTCTCACACGGTATGCCCGTGGTACATACAAGCTTGACTGCAAGTGGAGTGAAAGATGAGCCCTTAATGTTCTTGAAGCTAACATTGCTTATCTTAACTTTTGACGGAGGCTTTTGTTCACACTGAGTATATGGGCAGTACAATTGGTCTACGAGGATAGGGTTACTGACATTAACCATGATAATATCCTCATAGTGTATACCCGAGGCAGTGCTAGGCGAAGGAGAATCTGGAAATGTTTTGATTCTCACACCGTTGTCCGTATTAGTCAGGGTGCAGTTCTTAACTATGATCCCGGTCACATCCTTTTCGTCCTTATATTTTCCAAGGCTTCCAATGCTTATTCCATGGCCTGGCCCACAAGTAACATCAGTCACTGTGATTTCGTGGGAGTCATCACCAATAGAAATACAGTCATCCCCAGTTCCAATCTTTGCATGAGTAATGTTGATACCAGTCGAAGCCCCGATATGGATTCCATCTGTGTTTCTACTGTCGTCAGGTGCTGTGATGGTAAGCTGTTGAAATGTAGTATGGTTGCATCGGAAAACATGCATGTGGAAAAATTTGCTGTTAAGTGAAGTTATGTCCTGAACTTTGGAATTTGTGAGGAATTCGAACCGCAGATTAACGGGAATAGGTTTGCAATTTTTGTTTTTGTGGCAGTCATTTTGATTCCAAGAAAGTGCTCCTTGGCCATCAAAAGTCCCACCACCTGATAAGGTGAGCATGTCAATGTACTGAAAACCAACCCAAGTATCCGGTCTTGTGAGTTGGCTAGCGTCTGCTGGAGCCTGCAGTGTGCCTTGAACTTGCATCTCAATAGGAGCCTTACAGGGGCCTCTGAAATTTGCTTCTTTTAACTTGTATGTCCCGCTCGGAACAACAACTTTACTCGCGGATGGCGATGCACATGCATCACTCCAAGCCTTGGCCAAGGCCGTACTGACATCAGAGCCAGGCTTTGCACCGTATGTTGCACTCGTCACGTCAAACACACTAGCATGAGCTTTAGGTGTAGATGCTAACAATAAGCACAAAAGCATTGCCAAGAAACTTAATTTCATAGCCATCTTGATTTTCCTTCCCCTTTGTTATTTTATTCTCTGTGTTTTTTTTTCTTTTTCCCTTTGGAAGGATGATGCAACTCCATTTTGAGTTGAGGCCAATTTATAGTACGATTGGGAAGGCTCAACACCATCAAACTATCCAACCAATCACTAACTATTTTTATACACAGTTGCATTCTAGTTTAGCTTTATATCCTATAATTAGTAAGCTGTTTAGCCTTGAGAATATTCATCACCAAATCTCTATCTAGAACGTGCTAAGCTGTTTGTAGTATTGCTGTCCTCCTCAACACCCCGCAAAATATGTATATTCCAAAAAAGGAGGACCAAAACCATGCATACACACCTGGATAGAGTTAACAAGATCAACAGGAAAAGACCATGCCTACACTATTGAGAGATCGTAAAGCCCTAGATCGAGTTACGTGATTATCCAAGCCTAATTGAGTCCTAAGTGCCCTACAGTAGATTTGTAGCTCGAGTTTAAGGCCCGCGAACGATTTTGGAACAAGTTCGGACAAGTTCGAAAGCTAGGGTTTTTGGTTCAAGACTTGGATTTAGAGTTTGGAGATTAAAATTCGATTTTTAGAATTTGTAATTAATTGAAACTATTTTTAAAATAATTTTAAATTCCACAAAATTGTTTAAGATAATTAATTTTTATTTATTAAGTCATTTTTATGAAATTAATTGAAATATTTAAATACTAATTCTTCACTAAATAGTATAGCCGCGCGAAATATAATATTTTAACGGTATAGCCGCCCGGCTATACTCCATAAATATAATATTTTAACAGTATAGGGCTATTTCTAGCATTTTATGGAAGAGTTTGTAAAAGATTTATGTAATGGCCCCCAAACTAAGTTATTCACACTCTTGGTCCCTCAAAAAATTGTTTTCTAGCTTCACCCTCCTATTTTTTTTATTTTTATTTTAAAAAAATTGTGAAAGATTTCATTAATTTGATAAACTTGGAGTATTATCCAATAACATTGAAGTAATTAAGTCATGGAGGCTGTTCCTCTAACCAAAAGATTCTTGATCTAACAACAAGAATGTGTGAGGCACTTAGCTTCTTTAAAAAGGTGACCTTCCACACATGCAAATCCTCCCCATCTTTCTCAAGAGCAGTAATAATATATTGTGCATCCCCTTCCACTTCAATAGTCCCGACAAAATTTCGGCGGGAAAGATCTATCGATTGTTTTTTACATAAGACAGAGAAATATCATGCGGTGTTACTGCCAAATTCACAAGGGAAGTTTTCAGCGATGAAAATTGTGATCAAACAGGTCAACAATGGTATAAGCGGGCTCTAAACCCTGTTTGGATGGATGAAAATTGTGTTGTGTATTTATTTATCTTGGACAAAGGAGAGAACATGTAGCACAAAAGCAAAGTAGAACACAGCAATTTATGTATAGAGAACATTAATTATTACTTTCTACTTCTTGGATAAAGGAAGAGGTGCCAAGGACGATGTAGCACAACCAAGACCCTTTATCACGCCAGTAATTGTGGGCTTGACATTAGAACACATAGAGGTAAGAGGGCCTTTGTCTCCACCGTAGGTGAGATCAATGTCAGTCAACTCCACATTCTCACACGGTATGCCCGTGGTACATACAAGCTTGACTGCAAGTGGAGTGAAAGATGAGCCCTTAATGTTCTTGAAGCTAACATTGCTTATCTTAACTTTTGACGGAGGCTTTTGTTCACACTGAGTATATGGGCAGTACAATTGGTCTACGAGGATAGGGTTACTGACATTAACCATGATAATATCCTCATAGTGTATACCCGAGGCAGTGCTAGGCGAAGGAGAATCTGGAAATGTTTTGATTCTCACACCGTTGTCCGTATTAGTCAGGGTGCAGTTCTTAACTATGATCCCGGTCACATCCTTTTCGTCCTTATATTTTCCAAGGCTTCCAATGCTTATTCCATGGCCTGGCCCACAAGTAACATCAGTCACTGTGATTTCGTGGGAGTCATCACCAATAGAAATACAGTCATCCCCAGTTCCAATCTTTGCATGAGTAATGTTGATACCAGTCGAAGCCCCGATATGGATTCCATCTGTGTTTCTACTGTCGTCAGGTGCTGTGATGGTAAGCTGTTGAAATGTAGTATGGTTGCATCGGAAAACATGCATGTGGAAAAATTTGCTGTTAAGTGAAGTTATGTCCTGAACTTTGGAATTTGTGAGGAATTCGAACCGCAGATTAACGGGAATAGGTTTGCAATTTTTGTTTTTGTGGCAGTCATTTTGATTCCAAGAAAGTGCTCCTTGGCCATCAAAAGTCCCACCACCTGATAAGGTGAGCATGTCAATGTACTGAAAACCAACCCAAGTATCCGGTCTTGTGAGTTGGCTAGCGTCTGCTGGAGCCTGCAGTGTGCCTTGAACTTGCATCTCAATAGGAGCCTTACAGGGGCCTCTGAAATTTGCTTCTTTTAACTTGTATGTCCCGCTCGGAACAACAACTTTACTCGCGGATGGCGATGCACATGCATCACTCCAAGCCTTGGCCAAGGCCGTACTGACATCAGAGCCAGGCTTTGCACCGTATGTTGCACTCGTCACGTCAAACACACTAGCATGAGCTTTAGGTGTAGATGCTAACAATAAGCACAAAAGCATTGCCAAGAAACTTAATTTCATAGCCATCTTGATTTTCCTTCCCCTTTGTTATTTTATTCTCTGTGTTTTTTTTTCTTTTTCCCTTTGGAAGGATGATGCAACTCCATTTTGAGTTGAGGCCAATTTATAGTACGATTGGGAAGGCTCAACACCATCAAACTATCCAACCAATCACTAACTATTTTTATACACAGTTGCATTCTAGTTTAGCTTTATATCCTATAATTAGTAAGCTGTTTAGCCTTGAGAATATTCATCACCAAATCTCTATCTAGAACGTGCTAAGCTGTTTGTAGTATTGCTGTCCTCCTCAACACCCCGCAAAATATGTATATTCCAAAAAAGGAGGACCAAAACTATGCATACACACCTGGATAGAGTTAACAAGATCAACAGGAAAAGACCATGCCTACACTATTGAGAGATCGTAAAGCCCTAGATCGAGTTACGTGATTATCCAAGCCTAATTGAGTCCTAAGTGCCCTACAGTAGATTTGTAGCTCGAGTTTAAGGCCCGCGAACGATTTTGGAACAAGTTCGGACAAGTTCGAAAGCTAGGGTTTTTGGTTCAAGACTTGGATTTAGAGTTTGGAGATTAAAATTCGATTTTTAGAATTTGTAATTAATTGAAACTATTTTTAAAATAATTTTAAATTCCACAAAATTGTTTAAGATAATTAATTTTTATTTATTAAGTCATTTTTATGAAATTAATTGAAATATTTAAATACTAATTCTTCACTAAATAGTATAGCCGCGCGAAATATAATATTTTAACGGTATAGCCGCCCGGCTATACTCCATAAATATAATATTTTAACAGTATAGGGCTATTTCTAGCATTTTATGGAAGAGTTTGTAAAAGATTTATGTAATGGCCCCCAAACTAAGTTATTCACACTCTTGGTCCCTCAAAAAATTGTTTTCTAGCTTCACCCTCCTATTTTTTTTATTTTTATTTTAAAAAAATTGTGAAAGATTTCATTAATTTGATAAACTTGGAGTATTATCCAATAACATTGAAGTAATTAAGTCATGGAGGCTGTTCCTCTAACCAAAAGATTCTTGATCTAACAACAAGAATGTGTGAGGCACTTAGCTTCTTTAAAAAGGTGACCTTCCACACATGCAAATCCTCCCCATCTTTCTCAAGAGCAGTAATAATATATTGTGCATCCCCTTCCACTTCAATAGTCCCGACAAAATTTCGGCGGGAAAGATCTATCGATTGTTTTTTACATAAGACAGAGAAATATCATGCGGTGTTACTGCCAAATTCACAAGGGAAGTTTTCAGCGATGAAAATTGTGATCAAACAGGTCAACAATGGTATAAGCGGGCTCTAAACCCTGTTTGGATGGATGAAAATTGTGTTGTGTATTTATTTATCTTGGACAAAGGAGAGAACATGTAGCACAAAAGCAAAGTAGAACACAGCAATTTATGTATAGAGAACATTAATTATTACTTTCTACTTCTTGGATAAAGGAAGAGGTGCCAAGGACGATGTAGCACAACCAAGACCCTTTATCACGCCAGTAATTGTGGGCTTGACATTAGAACACATAGAGGTAAGAGGGCCTTTGTCTCCACCGTAGGTGAGATCAATGTCAGTCAACTCCACATTCTCACACGGTATGCCCGTGGTACATACAAGCTTGACTGCAAGTGGAGTGAAAGATGAGCCCTTAATGTTCTTGAAGCTAACATTGCTTATCTTAACTTTTGACGGAGGCTTTTGTTCACACTGAGTATATGGGCAGTACAATTGGTCTACGAGGATAGGGTTACTGACATTAACCATGATAATATCCTCATAGTGTATACCCGAGGCAGTGCTAGGCGAAGGAGAATCTGGAAATGTTTTGATTCTCACACCGTTGTCCGTATTAGTCAGGGTGCAGTTCTTAACTATGATCCCGGTCACATCCTTTTCGTCCTTATATTTTCCAAGGCTTCCAATGCTTATTCCATGGCCTGGCCCACAAGTAACATCAGTCACTGTGATTTCGTGGGAGTCATCACCAATAGAAATACAGTCATCCCCAGTTCCAATCTTTGCATGAGTAATGTTGATACCAGTCGAAGCCCCGATATGGATTCCATCTGTGTTTCTACTGTCGTCAGGTGCTGTGATGGTAAGCTGTTGAAATGTAGTATGGTTGCATCGGAAAACATGCATGTGGAAAAATTTGCTGTTAAGTGAAGTTATGTCCTGAACTTTGGAATTTGTGAGGAATTCGAACCGCAGATTAACGGGAATAGGTTTGCAATTTTTGTTTTTGTGGCAGTCATTTTGATTCCAAGAAAGTGCTCCTTGGCCATCAAAAGTCCCACCACCTGATAAGGTGAGCATGTCAATGTACTGAAAACCAACCCAAGTATCCGGTCTTGTGAGTTGGCTA